TATTCAACTGGGTATACTGCAGTGAGTAATGAAATAAAGAGTGGGGATTGAAAGAATGGCCGGCCATGTGAATGATGGACTGAGAAGTAAATAACAGTCTCTGGCAATCCTTCGGAATATACAGCACACAAAGGGGCAGTGTCTCTCAGTTTTTACTTCATATATATCTCATTATATATTTTCTGCAAGGATTTTTTTAAAAAAGGAAAAAGCTACAGCTACTCACCACAAAGTAGCTATCACAATAGTATTGACAAAAAGCAAAATTGCTCAACAGAGGTACTGGTACTGTGGACCAGTGTTGCCACTTTGGATGTTTTACATCCAGATTTAGATGTTTTCCCTTGCATTTAGATGGTGTTTTTGACGTTTAGATGGTAGATGTTTTTCTAGAAGTTTTTCATTTGGAGTGAATTTATCAAATCTAACCTAAAAAAGAGCATGAAATTTAACCTCTTAAATGCTATCTTGACAATAAAATTCGGTCTGATAAGAGTAGGAAAAGGCTGTTCTGCTTATCAGCTCCCTGACTGGGTAAAAGAAATTGGAACAGCTAAAGCATACCAGTCATTTTGGATCTGAAGCTTCAACTTCATCATCCGAGCTAAGTTTATCCTGTGGATCTTGTAAGGCAGACTTCTGTAAAAATGAGGACATGATTCTATAGGGTAAGTAATATCAATTGCTATGTAATTTGTGACTCTTTCCATTTGGATGTTTTTTTCTATATGTTTTTTACGCAAATTTAGATGTTTTTAGATATTTTTTGACTCCGTTTTGGATGTCTTTTGTCAAAGAAAAGTGGCAACACAGGTGTGGACCGTCACCTACCGCCAGAAACAAATAAATCCCTGATCGTGTCAACATTTTGATCTCTGCGCATTCAAGAACATGTTTTATTGAGTTGTTCGTCTGTTACAAGTGATGACTACTACTACTTCATTTTTTCGTCATAAAACTATAGTGGAGTTGTGTGAGTCGGTGACGACATAAGCTTGATGTGGGTCCAGAAGGACCTAGGACAATGGGTGCAGGGAAAAGTGTCTGTAGGTAAAGGGGCCTTTTGTACGGGTCTTTCACTGAAAAGGTCAGAGGTAGTGAGCATACTTTAGATCTTTTCTCCAGGCAATGCCGGCTTGGTGGGTAATGAACAGGCAGGCAGATTGGCTGAATCTGCACCACTGGGTGGTGAAATGATACATGACAAGGCAGATGTGGTCAAGGTCCTTTGGGAACAAGCAACGGAATTAGTAGAGAAAGAAGATTATTATGGCCTGGAGAGAATGAGGCACCAGGGAGTAACCAGAGGGTCTGGCCAGCTTACTACACTCAGAGGAAAGGCAAGACGGGGGGAAAGGGGGGGGGGGGGGGAAGATATAATGATCGTTTGTGCGCTTTTTCCAATGCCTTGTACAAGTTGGTGTTCATTCCTGATAGGTTGCTCCTGGTGATGTCGCTCCATCTCTTGCTCTGTGTTCATTATATTTCTTCAGCGTGGCTCTCTGTGGCAGTTGGTACCAGGACATTCTCGTCAGGTGGCCAAACCATCTCACTTATTGTTCTTTAATGAATTGTATGGCTGGTTTCAATCCTAGTAGTCTTCTTCTAATTTCTTCATTCCTGATTTTATTTCTTCCTGTCACACCGGCAGCTCTCCTAAACAGCTCATCTCTGTTGTTACGATCTTCCGCTCATTAGTTGTAGTAAGGGTCCATGTTTGGCAGTGGTACCACAATGTCGGCCAAAAAAAAAGGTCTCATAAGATTTGCTTTGGTTGACAGATGTATCGTTACTGAACTATGAAAAGGAAATTAAAACAACTTAAACATTGGTAACACGTGTGGGATTTAGACATAAGCTAAATCAATTACAAGTTACTGAAATATCAAAAGGTAATGAAAACAACTGAAACATTGCTAACACACGGTAGGGATGTAGAGATAAGCTAAATCAACTATAAGTTAGGGCCTCACAATCTGCAGGGGCCTCAGACAATTCCCCCTTTTTTGTTATTTCAGAAATGCAATTTTCTTTTAATAAAATAACCCTCCCCCCCTCCCCCCCTGCCCTCGAAACGTGTCTGACGTTGTAGTGGTTTATTTAATATTATTTTTGTGATTTTGTAGAAAGCGTATTTCCACTATCCATAGATATAAAAGGCGTATATATTTTAAAGTTTTCGGAGATTCTTCTTCTTAAATAAGGTTCATGCCTTGCGGCGTTGGTAGTCAAGTCTAGCCACAGCCTTCTGTCTCGTGTAGTTTCTAGCAACTCTTACACAGAGGATCCTCCATGCCATTATGTTGAACTCTCCAGCATCTTTTTCTCTCGGTTTCCCTCGTCCTCTAATCCTTTTTTTGTAAGTATCCAGAAACCATGAGTTGTAAACCCTTTAGCTCGGTACTATGGATATCGCAACCCTTCGGCCTTGATTCCATTATAGGGAGAAATGTGGCTTTTCTGCCTACCCCCGGAAGTGAACCAGGACCACAAGGAGTTCATCACCCGGTCTCCGCGAAAGTCAGGTTTAACCAACTACGCTAGAGAATCGGGCCTTCTCCTTTTCAACTTTTCTACTGTCACGATATACTTCAGTTTTCTCCCTCTCATTACATGCCAAAGAATGTAGATTGCCTCTTTCTGGTATGGACAATCAATTCTCGGAGATTAGCTGCTATCATTTAAGACGGTAGGAGGCCTCATGACTTTATGTAGCTTTAGGCTGCATCTCATTAAAATCTGACCCTGCTAGCACATCATTTTGTGTCCCTGCTTCCACACCCCCCCCCCCCCCCCCCAGATATATCTTTTCCTTCAGACTTCTTCTTTGTTTACTCTCTGTGGTTTTTCTGGTTTCCAGATGAGAATTTTAAGGTCCTCTATTAAAGCTGTGATATTTAAAGTGGGCGAAACGTTTCACGCATCTCACTTTTATTTGTGTATGTTTGGGTTTCTACTTCGTTCATTTCTGTGATTTAATTTATTTCATCAACTCTTTCTTCATTCCCTATCTCCCCGCAACAGTCACACTGCTCATAAAGAAATTCGAACACGATTTCTGCGTTTGCTGCATTAAAGGGAGGGAATCAAATATGGCAATCCACAATGCTTTAATGTTTTGTTTTTTTCCCGCTACAGTCACAGTCCAACTGTGAATTACCGTTTGTAAAGAAAATTACGAAAACTGTGAAGATTAAATTGTGGATAAAAAAAATGATAGCGTTGTTATATTGTATTGCATTATGAGTTATCAAAAACCTAAGGCAAAGAAAAACCGATAACATTACATTCTAATTACGTAACGGAAAAGAACAAAGTTGTGAACTTAAAGTAAAAAACAAAATAAAGATCCCTATTTACGCCTTACGCGCATATGGGAAGAGCGTCCCATATTGTTTTAGACCAATCGGCACTAGGTGGGTAATGTGGTCAGCATTATGCCGGCCGTCTTTCCTTCCCCAGGACAGCCATCCCGGTACCCATTTTAGGCTGGGTCGACCTGCGACGACCTGCAGTAGGTTTCGATCGCGGTACGTTGGATTACGAGACGGACTCGCAACGCCAAAGCCACGGACGCCGCGTTGTGAACAAGACCCTCCTATAATCCTTGTCCTAATGTGGGACGCAGTTTTTTTTTTTTTTTTTTTGGTTTGTTTTTGTTTTCGAGCCCAGCTCCGGCTGTCACTGGGGGCCTTAAATATAACCTACGGGTTGAACAGGGTTTCGTAGACTCCCGCCGAGTGATTCTTATCCAAATGGTGTCACTTTATGTCACCGGGTGTCACTCGTCATGCGGTCCTGGTGGGGTTGATCGTCGTTCAATCACTTGCGCTCCTGATTCAAACCCATCCCTCCATGGGACTCAATTATTGGTTACTTTAAAGCCCCACCCCGGCTGTCGTTCGGGTGCCCTAATAAAATTTAACGATAAAACGGGGTTTCTGGAACTTGCTCCCGATAGATTCTCATTCGAATGTGTCACCAGATGTTAGTGCTCGTTGTGCTGTCCCGGTGGCGTTGAGTGTCACTTACTCAACGCTCTTGATAGGATCACCCTACCCGCTTTTCAGTCAGTTGTCAACTGTTACTTAGTTTCAACTGTTTCTTACCATAACATAACTGCCCCTCACCATTTCCAGTTTAAAGATTCGGCATATATATGGTATTCAGACTGCACAGACTACTATCACAGCACACAAGGGTGGGTGGGGTAAATATTTCGGTGTGTAAAAAATGGCTACAAAATCAGGCACAGTGCAGAAAAGATTTGACTGGTTGGATCTGTCAATATTTAAAGTAACTACCAAAATTAGTCACTGCGCATGTACTACTTCTCGTCCTTTTTAGGATGACATTTTTCGTTCTTTGAAGCCCTACTCTGGGTTTTGCCAGGGGCCGCAATATAGCCTGGCCATAAATATGGCCTAAAGTCTGAACGCGGTTTCTGGGACCTCTCCACGGTGATACTCACCCACATGGTGGCACATTGTGTCATCGGGTGTTTATCGCTTGTGTGATGTCCTGGTGGTGTAGAAAGTCAGTCAATTAGTCACTGCAAGTGCACAAGATGTTTGACTGGCTGAGTAGCTCGATGTGTAAAATAAGCTGACGAATCAGCAGCGGGAACAGTAGATTTGATTTTTTGAGCTGGTCGATGTCCAGAGTAGTTATAAAATCATGCAGCGTGCACGAAACATTTCATTGGTTGAATATTTTGATGCAAAGTCATAATCATTCATCATATACCAAAGATGTGATCATATTGGTTGTTGTAAATAACTACAAATTAAGGCACATTGCATAAATGTTTTGACTGGTTGAGTCGTTGTAAGGAAGCTATCAAAGAAAGCACCATCCAGACAAGATATCGTTGGTAAGTAGGTCGATGTGTAACAAATCTACAAAATCAGTACCTTGTAAGAGAGATTTCATTGGTTGAACAGGTCAATGTAACGAATCTACAAAATCAAGCACTTTATCGGAAAAGGCACAGGTTTAAATCATTTCAACTTCTTGTCATGGCTAGACTCCACTGCCCTCTTGGTCACGTCGAAGTGAATCAACTTGTTGATCTGCAGAGCTACAAAACATCCCAGGAAAGGGCCCAACCAGTAGACAAAGAAATGCTCCCAGAGAGCCGTACCGTGGCAACCAAGCGTGTGTCCGCTAGCCATAGCTGGGTTGAAGTACATTCCTGTTGTTGTGAAACCTGTGGAAGATTGGAAAACACGAAGTATAGGATCAAATATCAATCCGTCAGCCGGTCCTTTGCAGAACGTCGCTTCTTTCACGGTACGCTTGAAAGTCTTTCTTTCTCAGTCCAGTTCTACAGCCGCGTGTGCTTTCGTAGCCAATGCATCTTTAATTCTATATCTACCCTCGCTTGAGGTCGGCCTTTGCCTCGTAATCCAGAAACGACACCCTCCTTCATCGTTTCCTGTAGAACACCATGGTGCTTGACGTGGCCTTAAGTACACCAGCTTTCGGGACAGGATGCTGTTTATGAGCCATTTATTGTTCTTTTTCTTGTTCCACAATATTCTAAGAATTTTTCTGTAGCCTTTTAGTTCAAAAGCTGAAAAGTATAAGAAGCTTTGCAAATTTACAATAACGACACAGAAACAAATGGCGATTCGAAGGCAAGCTTTCTTCAGTTAAAAATATGTTTATATTATGTAAGAAAATATTTATAACGTATGAGAAATGTACTAGCTTACCAATATTATTCTTATTTACAATATGGTAACCAGTACAGTGTATTCTCGCTTACCAGCGGTTACCAGTACGTTATATTTTTTAAGTACCTCTATCACAACAGAAGCTGGTTGCACTAGATATGTGAATCCACTGCTGTCTTTGGGAATATAATGTAGTAAGACACCTTCTATGGCACGACTCCGGTACCATTGACCGAAAGCACGAGAACAGTCGTTATCCACACTACATTATAGCGCGAATGTGAACATAGTGCATCGAGGATTGTGAAATACGTTGCTTAGCAATATTAATTAATTGAACAGTATGTTAAACTGGAAAATCTACTTTCTTATCAATGGTAATTAATCGAATCGAACAGTATGTTAAACTGACAAATCTAATTGCTTATAAAAAATAATCAGTCGAACAGTATGTTAAATTGGCAAATATACTTGCTTACCAATATTAATTAATAGAAAAGTATGTTAATGGTAATCAGTTGAATAACATGTTAAATTGACAAATCTAGTTGCTGATCAATAATAATTAGTTGAACAGTATGTTAAATGGGCAAATCTACTTGCTTACAAATAGTAATCAATCGAACGGTGTGTTAAACTGACAAATCTACTTGCTTACTGATGGCAATCCTTTGGACAGTATGTTAAACTGACAAATATACTTGCTTACCAATGGTAATCAATTTGGCAGTATGTTAAACTGACAAATATACTTGCTTACCAATACTAATCAGTAAAACTGTATTTAATCTGACAAATCTACTTGCTTACCAATAGTAATCAGTTGGACAGTATGTTAAACTGACAAATCTAATTGCTTACCAATAGTAATCATGATGGCTGCATTAATGTACTTGATGAGTTCATCCAAGATTGGAGTGCTGGACACAGTCTGCATGGAAAGCCAAGTTTCGCTCAGACAAGCACACATTTCTATGAGGAAACCCATCAACAGTGTTACATGAAGGTCGCTCTCACATGAAGCTTCATAATAGCGCTGTGCACACAGTATAGAAAACAAAAAAAAACAATAAGATATATTGGACTATATTATGTGTACACACACACACACACACACGCACGCACGCACACACACACACACACACACACACACATATATATATATATATATATATATATATATATATATATATATATATATATATATATATATATATATATATATATATATATATTTATATATACATATAATAAATACTCACATTCCAGTGGCTTCAGATGGTTTCTGTGTGACTTATTTACATATTATCTGGGATTGACAACCGCGTCTTAAGATTAGTTCATTTTAACGAACGAGCATTCTTTTTCTCAGCTTCCATTGTCAGGTGCTTATTACAGTCAGTATTTTTTAAAATAAAATTAAGTTTCTACTGGCCTTTTATGTTATTTATTTTTTATTATCCAAAGCTAATAAATAAATGTAGTTAATATTGTGAATACATGTATTTCCATGAAATGAGTAGCTTTCTATTGGCCTGCTACCATAGAAAATACTAGAATCTTCTGCCAATCTTTCACTAAAAAAATGTTCCTCTAGGCTTTGATGCTGAAATGTTGCTCTTGATTTTACATTGAGTGTCCCTTTTCTTTTGTGTTTTTTTTTTTTGTATTTCGCTAGACAATTTCTTAAGACATTATATTGCAAAAGTGTCCCTCCAGACTTCATATTGCAAAAGTTTCCCTCCAGACTTTATATTGCAAGAGTGTCCCTCCAGACTTTATATTGCAAGAGTGTCCCTCCAGACTTTATATTGCAAGAGTGTCTCTCCAGACTTTATATTGCAAAAGTTTCCCTCCAGACTTTATATTGCAAGAGTGTCCATCCAGACTTTATATTGCAAAATTTTCCCTCTAGACTTTATATTGCAAGAGCGTCCCTCCATACTTTATATTGCAAAAGTGTCTCTCCAGACTTTATATTGCAAAAGTGTCTCTCCAGACTTTATATTGCAAAAATGTCTCTCCAGACTTTATATTGCAAAAGTGTCTCTCCAGACTTTATATTGCAAAAGTGTCTCTCCAGACTTTATATTGCAAAAGTGTCTCTCCAGACTTTATATTGCAAGAGGTCTCTTCCAGTTTTTATACTGCAAAAGTGTCTCTCCAGACTTTATATTGCAAAAATGTCTCTCCAGACTTTATATTGCAAAAGTGTCTCTCCAGACTTTATATTGCAAAAGTGTCTCTCCAGACTTTATATTGCAAAAGTTTCTCTCCAGACTTTATATTGCAAAAATGTCTCTCCAGACTTTATATTGCAAAAGTGTCTCTCCAGACTTTATATTGCAAAAGTGTCTCTCCAGACTTTATATTGCAAAAGTGTCTCTCCAGACTTTATATTGCAAGAGGTCTCTTCCAGTTTTTATACTGCAAAAGTGTCTCTCCAGACTTTATATTGCAAAAATGTCTCTCCAGACTTTATATTGCAAAAGTGTCTCTCCAGACTTTATATTGCAAAAGTGTCTCTCCAGACTTTATATTGCAAAAGTGTCTCTCCAGACTTTATATTGCAAGAGGTCTCTTCCAGTTTTTATACTGCTTGATGGAGCCTCTAAGATTTATATTTTTGAGTGGGCCTCAAGATTTTATATTGTCTCAGTGAGCCTCCAGTCTTTATATAGCAAGAGTGTTCTCTCAGACTTTGTAATACTTGAGTGAGCCTTAAGACTTTTTAACTGCTTGAGTAAGCCTCCAGACTGTACACTGTTTGAGTAAGCCTCCAGACTTTATATTGTTTGAATGTGCCTCTCGACTTTATATTGCTTGAATGTGCCTCCAGACTTTATATTGCTTGAATGTGCCTCTCGACTTTATATTGCTTGAATGTGCTTTCAGACTTTATATTGCTTGTATGTGCCTTTAGACTTTATATTGCTTGAATGTGCCTCTCGACTTTATATTGCTTGAATGTGCCTTCAGACTTTATATTGCTTGAATGTGCCTTTAGACTTTATATTGCTTGAATGTGCCTCCAGACTTTATATTGCTTGAATGTGCCTCTCAACTTTATACTGCTTACGTGAGCCTCCAGACTTTATATTGCTTGAATGTGCCTCTCGACTTTATATTGCTTGAATGTGCCTCTCGACTTTATACTGCTTATGTGAGCCTCCAGACTTTATATTGCTTGAATGTGCCTCTCGACTTTATACTGCTTATGTGAGCCTCCAGACTTTATATTGCTTGAATGTGCCTCTCGACTTTATATTGCTTGAATGTGCCTCTCGACTTTATACTGCTTATGTGAGCCTCCAGACTATATATTGCTTGAATGTGCCTCTCGACTTTATACTGCTTATGTGAGCCTCCAGACTTTATATTGCTTGAATGTGCCTCTCGGCTTTATACTGCTTATGTGAGCCTCCAGACTTTATATTGCTTTAATGTGCTTCTCGACTTTATATTGCTTGAATGTGCCTCTCGACTTTATACTGCTTATGTGAGCTACCAGACTTTATATTGCTTGAATGTGCCTCTCGACTTTATATTGCTTGAATGTGCCTCTCGACTTTATACTGCTTATGTGAACCTCCAGACTATATATTGCAGGAGTATTCCTCCAGACTACATATTGCTTGACTGAGTCTCGAGACTTTATATTGCTTGAGTGAGCCTCTAAGACTTCATATTCTTGGGTGAGCCTCTCAGACTTTATATTCTTGGGCGAGCCTCTCAGGCTTTATATTGCACGAGTAAGCCTCTAGACTTAAAATTGCTAGAGTGAGCCTCTAGACTTTAATTTACTAGAGTGAGCATCAAGACTTTATATTGCTTGAGTGAGCCTCTCGGACTTAATATTGCTTGAATGATCCTTCAGACTTTCAGTTGCTGGAGTGAGTGTCCAGACTTTATACTGCATGAGTGCCATTCATGCTACATTGCTAGAGTGAGTATCCAGACTTTGTATTGCAAGAGTTGACTATCATTTTGATTTTTACTTTAGTGTATCCAGAATCTGGATTTCATATAGCTAGATCACGTCTTCGGCCTAGATATCACTAGTGTTCCTATGGGCTTCACATTATTAGGGTGGTTCTCCGTATTTTTATTGCTAGAACATATATCTTTCCTGTTTATGGCTAGAGCAGTGACTTCTGGGTTAGTTTGTATTGCCAGAACAGACTTCCATGAGGCGTTACCTAGTCTAAATATAAAGTCTAAATCTGATACTGCTTCTAGCGAATCAAATTAATTAAGAAATGTAATGTATTGAATTTGATAATATTCTATTACAATTTGTGGAGCAGCGCATTAGGGAGGGAGGATACTAAATTTATCATAGGAAGAGGAAACGCAACCTGAAAACCCAATGTTATAGCAGGACCGACCAGGATCTAATCCTTGACTGACAGATGGTTTAGGGTTGAATCTCCACTAAGCAGACAAAAAGAGAACTGCTTTTCTGATCCGAAAGCCTCTGCAGCATGTTCTGTCCCAGCTGTATGGGTATCACAGTTCCTGAAAGTCAACAAGTCAGGCCGATAGAGATCCTGCTGCCTGTGTAACACATGATCTCTACAATAATGTTCAGAGCGTGTGCTTTAGAGAAGATGGACTTAGGGTGGGATTCTCATGCATTCTACAGTACTATACAATATTTTCAACTTCTTCTTCTGCCTTTCTATCCCCCAATGGAGCATAGGCCCTCAACCAACTCGCGCCAAGTCGTTCTATCCTTCGCCATTGCATGGAGCTCTCCCCATGTCCTCCCCATCTTTTTAACTTCATTCTCCAGCTCTCTTCTCCATGTGTTTTTTGGCCTTCCTTTATTCCTATGCCCCTGTGGGTTCCAATGCAAAGACATTCTGGTTTTTCTGTACTACTGTTTTCCAATCCACCTCTTGTTGCACTGGAGCCTGTTTAGTTCTCTCCCAAAGCTCTACATCAGTTATTCTATCATACCATTTAATTCTCTCTATTCTGCGCAGGCACCAGTTAATGAATGTCTGTAATTTGTTAGTAATTGCCTTAGTTGATCTCCATGTTTCAGCCCCATACAAAAGTACTGATTTGACATTAGCATTAAAAATTTTTAGTTTAGTATTTCTTTTAATTTCTTTTGACCTCCACAAATTCCCTAGTGCTTTGAAAGCTCCACTTGCCTTTTGTATTCTTATTTTAATATCTCTATCAGTTCCTCCATCTTTATCTACATTACTGCCCAAAAAGGTGTACGACTTAACGTCTTCGAGTGGGGTGCCATTAAAAGAAACCACATTACTGTTTGCCTGGTTTATTCTCATTATCTTTTTTTTCCTTTATGGATTTTCAGACCAAGCTGCTGTGATCTCGCATCAAGTATATTTAATTTATCTTGCATCTGATTCAGTGAATGGGACAGAAAAGAAATATCAACGAAGTCCAGATCAGCAAGCTGTTTTGTATGGGTCCACTCAATTTCATTCTTGGTGTCAGCAGTTACTGTTTTCATAATCCAGTTTATAGCCAGTAAAAATAAGAGAGGCGACAAAGGACATCCCTGTCGCACACCCGTTTTTTTTTTTTTTTTCAAATGTATCTGTTAACTTTCTCCCATGAAGAAAACGACGTTTCATGTCTTTATATGTTGCCTTTACTAAATTAATAATTTTTCTGTGGGATTCCATAGTGCCCCATCAATTTCCAGAGCGATTCCCTATAAATGCTGTCAAATGCTTTTTCATAGTCTTTAAATCCAATGTAAAGTGGTGAGTTCAGTTCAATGCCTTGCTCTATTATAATACGTAATTTGGCTATCTGGTCAGTACAGGATCTGTTTTGACCTAAAACCTGCCTGTCCATCGCTTAGCTTTTTATCAATAGCATCTTTTAATCTTTCCAAAATAATTCCACTTAATATTTTTCCAGGAACTGAGAGCAACATAATTCCTCTATACTTTTCACACTCCTGTAGATCACCTTTTTTGGGCAGTTTCACAAGATATCCTTCTCTCCAGTCTGCTGGTATTTCTTCGGTCTCCCAGACTTTACTGAATAATCTATGCAGCAATTCTGTTGATGTGCTCAAGTTGGCCCTGATGGCTTCAGCTGGGATACCATCTGGGCCTGCCGCCTTTCCTTCCTTTAGAAGATTGATAGCGTTTCTAATTTCCTCTTTGGATGGTATCTCACAGGTGATATCCAGTTCTATTTCTAAAGGCTGGATATTTGGAGGAACCTCTGGACCTGGTCTATTTAGAAGCCTTTCAAAATATTCAACCCATCTGTCCATTTGGTCCTTAGTGTTAGTAAGCACCTTTCCTTTCCAACTGGAAAGACGAAAAGATGTCAGCAACAGCAGGTACAAATTAAATAAACATAAACAACGAATCTAACCTCGTGATGATCTGAGATAAGATCTAACGCCCACACCAGCTTTGCGAAGCGATACGAGGCCAGCCCTGCGAGAGTCTGAACCAAGATCTTCACCAGTGCTTTCCTAAAGGTGATTTCCCCGGCCACCAAATGATGTATGGCTTTAACTGGGTTCTCGCTGGATTCACCAAAAGTCCGAGCGCAAATGAAACACTGAATCACTATGGCGACTGCAAACCAAAAACTCCCGTAATGCTTTGAATGAAATAAAAGAAACAAACATTTTAGTTTATACGTATTAGTGGCAATACATTCAGTGCAATGACTTTCTTGGCTCTGATCATACAGCCTTCTCAGACACGTTAACACAGACCTGAACACAGCTTGCTCATGAACACAGGTTGAAAACGGTAGGCCATTAACAGATGTACATTTTTTATTATCACGTTCTTTCTCTTGGTTTACTCGCCAGAGGATGGTTGTCTATGGCGTTTTTTAAATAAACATCTACATATAGTTATCTAATATAAAAACCTCTCACGCTCAGCAAATTTCACGCTAGCAATTCAAAATAGGTGAAAATTTCATTCACAAACTCCAGACGTAGCAATCTTCATTCCCAACAATCATGAATTAATTGGTCAAGTTTTCTTGCAATTTAGACCGGCGGCTTGGATCACTTTCACACCATCTCAGAACATGTTCACCTCAGTCATCCAAGCGCCCCAATGACCGATTCTACTAAATCGAAAACAAGACGGACTTTTCTTCGTGAACTTCAAAATTCTTCTCGCGCATTTCATACTTTCTTCGCTTGGCATACTTCGGCCAAACTGCACAAATTTCAAGTTTGCCTCGATTTGACACTCGAGTTGTTTACTCATTCTTTATGCTTAGTAATCCATACTATCCATTCGGATAATCATAAATACCTTATGATTAGCATTTGTCTTCATTCCTATGTAATTAGATAATTTACCTGTAATCCACACTATCCATTCGGATAATCATAAATACTTTATGATTTGCATTTGTCTTCATTCCAACGTAATTTGATAATTTACCCACAAGGAGAAAATAGACCATTGCAGTCGGTAACAATATTTGTTACCGCAGAGAAAATATATAGTCTGGTTGTTAGCATTCACCGGCCTTAAACTCAAGCGAAAAGTTCTGGTTGTTCGTCCGCTGCTAGCTTTTAGTTTTTTTTCTCCAGAATCTGACTTGTGCATAACGTATTCATGAATGTAAAAGCATACTCGTGCGTCCTAGACGTTTATAAGAAAGCTGGAGTCATTTTTAGGCAGGGTTGACCAAGAAGCACCGGAGATCTGGCACGCTTAACTAAGTCTCAAAACTCCTTGAGGTAGTTTCGTTCCCTATAAAATCTGAAAGGGGACTGCCTCACACCTTCCAGCAGCCTAATCTTTGTGTGTACAGGTGCCCCTGCATTTAGATCTAACCAGCCTCTTAAAAATTGGTCTACTGAAAATTATCAGAACTTTCTGGAAAATGCCTGGAAACAAAAAGGAAAAAAGAGAACCGGCTACGCTTCGTCAAATGTCGTGACCTGGACTAACTCTTAACATTCTAGCGGCTGCATCGGCTTCGAAACTGCCTTCTGTACATACTGCCTATACTCATATTTAAAAGGCTTCAGCTGAGAACTGATATGCCATAATTCTAACAAGAATCATTGTGAAGCAAGTAGGGCACCAGAATCGGGGAGACTTGAGCTTCTCTTTCATTCTTTGAAATCAGAAAATGTGTAAAAACAAAAGCCCTTTTTGTTTTCTTTGGGTCGTTGTACCCATTAAAGGAGTCTTATTTACAAACCCAAAAATTGCCATTCTTCTTGTACTCACCACTTCTGCGGTGTAGGAGGAGGGTGTTTGACCCTAAGGATTTACGGTCCCGTGGCTAGTGCTGTCACCACGGACTGTACAGATTAGTATTTTATTTTTGCAGCCGACAGAAAACAATCCACAACTTATCGAGAATTCGAATCTATGTTTCCATTTTATTCCTAACCTTCGGACCAGCGGCTCTTCCTTAAAATACACCTAAAACAATTTGAAATTTAAATGACTAATCTTCCTTCGCAAGTTTTCAAGTATATTCTCCAGAGATTTTTACTTCTAAAGTGTTTCCAAGTGGAAGTCTGCTGCAACTTCCTGTGCAAATTTTTACTTCTCTTCTTCGTTCTTCGATGGAGTCAATTTATTTAACAAATCTCTGGCTAATTCAGCTGTAAAGAGTCAGTGTTCCTTGCACCTCGACTCTTAATTCTGTAAAATTATTCATCCGTGAAAAATCGAATATGTCAAGCCAACGTGACGTATCTTTCAACCGATTTCTCCTTATGACGTATATTATTAACTCATTGTTTACCCAGGCAACAACATTACGTTGGCGTGAAGCTTCCTGTATAATCCCAACATTAGCAATATTCTCGGGAAAAAAAGGAAAGGTAAGTCGTACAAGGCATACACAAAAAGATGGCAAGGACGTAGAGCAGAAGGTAGACCAAGAACAAGATGAACAGAGAAAATCTTCCACAGCACATTGTGTCCGTGGCTAAGGCGACCCGAAGAGCAAGAAACAGAACCTCATATCTCACTTACACCCAAAGCGGTGTAAAGAAAATGAAGTGAAGAAGAAACGTAAAAAAAAAAAAAAGACAAGAAAGGATTTTTTTCCCCCCTTATAACGAGCACTGGGTTTTAAAGTTGAAAGTTGTTGGCACCTTTCTGTCTTTCTAGACGAAAAATTTTATACTCTACTATTGGGAATCCCAACCAATGCCGATGAAAAATATGATTAGCCAACCCTGCTTTCTTTTCGAAAAGTCTTCCACAGACAGAGCATAAGAGTTCAGAAGGATTGTTGACATCGCATGCGTTCAACGTGCTACCTCTGAAACACCCAGCTCTGGACGCATATGCAGTCACTTGCATCTTTGTCCCCATTCAAAATCTAAACGACCCCTTCCCATTTTCTCTCATGCAATAGGCAATATGGCATACTGTTCACACCCGAATCCAGCTCAGTGCCTGTATCATTTATGTCCCGCTTACACTCATATTTATTTCATAGTTGAGGCTAACCGCGATGTCGTCAACTCATTTGTATCCACCATAGAGGATATACTTAAAAATAAAGTGGAAAAGGGCGAGACAATCGGCATCACTGCACTGGTTTTATGCCAATGCTTACGTATCTCTCCAGATCCACCGATGACCCTAGGGGATCTGGGAAACAATTGCCGTCGCAAACAGAAGGTCCTTCTCGGGAACTAAGCCCACGAACTTCAGATCCACGGAGACTCTATCCTATGTAATGTACAAAGCATAACGCTCACGGGGAGCATTTTTAGCGTAGCAGCTAGACGCTTGACTGCTAGCCTGAAATGTATAGGTTCAAATCCGCATGGAGTCGGGGTTTTAAAATTTACCTAGGTCCCAGCCTAAAATAGGTACTAGGAAATGTCCATATAAGAAAAGGCTACCTGGTTGAAATCGACCACATTACCCCCTGAAGTGCCGACTGGTCTATACACAAATCAGTCCTGTACCACATACCTGATGCCTCAAGGATTAAACAGAAATCCTTGACTTTACTTAAACATTAAAGTCAACCGTGTTCGTAAATTGTTGCTGTGATTGTTATTCGACATATGCTTCGTTAATATAAATGTATGTAACCTATGGGACCATTTAAATGGTTTGAAATGAATTTTGTCCATATTCCATAGTTGTGAACTTCAAGTTGTACGATAGACATGGCGGTGCTTAGTTGACCATGTTCTTAGTGCGCTTGTATTCATGGCGAGGCGCAGACGCCGTCTGGAGGTGACAGGTTCAATTGTCGGCACGGTAACTATAGATTTCGATTTTTATGTTGTCTAGTGTGTTCTTCTATCTATCTACTTCTTTCTGTGAGTGCCAATCAATACACTTTCTGTTACTTGATCAATTCACTTTTCTTTCATATAACGTTCATTGACAAAACGGCGCAGCGACTTAAATCATTGATATGATGGTAAGTTAAAACCGCTGGGAGGACAATGTAAAGGGCATACTCAGTACCTCAGCTCAGGGACCAGCCACAATTCTCTGTGCTGGTTTTACCCTTATGCAAGACTCCTGCCACATGTCCACATCGTGCGTTCTGGATAATGGTCGGTGTTGGACTAAACAGATTGCAGGCGATCTATTATTTTTCCTGAGCTGGTAACATCCATAGATGCAATGCCCACACTCTGGCAATATGCAAGCCACCCCTGATGTATCGTTGGCAACGTTTATAGAGAACTCCATGTGCAATACCGAATATCACGACCGGAGCCTCCTACTAGGACTGCACAAAGAGCAACGAACACCCCATGATACAGAGTAACACCATTCAGATGCGGATCACCCAGTACAAGTCCCAGAAACACCGTTTAACAATGAGGTTATATGAGGGCCCCAGATTACAGCCGGGGTGGGGCTTTAGAAAAACAATTGCGTCCCATTTTGGGCTAGGTTAAATTAACCTACTAAATTACAAAGGTTCAAATGTCTTTCGTTTGAGAGTTCTAATTCAATAAAGGAGGAGGTGGGGGGGGGGGGGGGGGGGGGGGGGGGGGGGTGAATGTCAACCACAAGAAAGAATCGAAGTTTGCTACGAAGTCGGAGCGCGTCTACATATGATGTAGGTGGGAAAAACAGACTGCACATATCTGCAAATGGATGCTCACGCAACAACTCAAGCCCCCGGAACAAAGCCAAGGTTTAGAAATGGACGAACAGCCAGGACTTCCCGCTGGAGTTTACATCTCATGAACACAAACCAAATAAACAATGACAAAATACTTACGGCTAGTACAAAGTTATTCTCAAAGAAATACGCGCACGCTTCCATTGTGGAGACAAAATCCACGGCGTAGCCTCGGATACTGGGCGGTAGGAAAAGCGCGGACAAGGCTCGCAGTACAATCCCCGTGGTCATGTTAATACCGAAGAAAATTAACGATGCCACATAGGGCTCCACATACTCCACCTCCGGGTCATGTCCCGTGGCGATGCTCCAAATCCCTCTCCAGTCAATTCCTGAGGAAAGTAGATTACAAATCGATTACCTTGATGCTTGGTAGATATTATGAAAAAGTAGAACTGGAGTTTCAGGTTTAATTTGTTATTAATGTACTAATGTATCCATTTTATGACAACTACAAAATGTGATAGTAAAAGTAGTAGTATCCACAGTAGTAGTAGCAGCAGCAGCGGTAGCAACAGCAGCAGCAACAGCAGAGTAGTAGTAGCAGCAGTAGCAGCAGCAGTAGTAACTGTAGTAGTAGTTGCAACAGCAGTACAGCAAATGCAGCAGTAGTATTAAACAGTACAATGTCATTTAAAGTGGTAGTAGCAACAGCAGCTGAAGTAGTAGTTGTAGTAGTAGTAGTAATGGTGGTTTTAGTGATGGTAATAGTAGTTGTGTTAGATTTAGTTGTAATGTTAATAGCCATGGTGGGGGGGGGGGGGGGGAGGCGTTGTTACTTTGCACTCTGGTAGAGGACTCACTGATTGGATCGTCATATCCTGCACATGGCTGCTTAATATTACATCTCTGTATTGAACCATGTTTTGCATTCAAATTCACAAAAAATTGCAGTTGGTTAATTAACTATTGTTATAGTAATTATCTCTCTCTCTCTCTCTCTCTCTCTCTCTCTCTCTCTCTCTCTCTCTTTCTCCTCTCTCTTTCTCTCTCTCTCTCTCGCTGTCTCTCTCTCTCTCGATGTGTGCTTGTGTGTGTCTGAGTGCAAGTGTGTATAAAAGTGATTGTGTGTGCGCGCGCGTGTGTGTGTGTGTGCATATGTATATGCGTTCAAGTACATGCATATGTACGCATGAGTGTGGGTGCTTGTACGTATGGGCATATAAGATTGTATGTGTACGTGTATATTCGCAGTGTGTATGATTGTGAATAACGATGTGTATGTATTATTTCATTGTGTTAATTTCTAAATAAACACTTATCAAGGGAAAATACAAGGATATGTAGAGAAAACAAACTAACAGTTAACATCCACAACACCCCATCAGCAGACTCAAAAGAAAGCTACATATAACAATTTTCCCTCTACGAACAGAAACACTGTATAGTCCCCCACAGTGTGCCTGTCAAACAGGACCACAAAAACCTTAGTACATTCTGCAGACCTGCTCACTTTACCTACAACTTTGAAAAGACACCTGGCCTCAAGAGCAAAGTGTGCAGAGCAAGCTATATGGAACCATTAAGGACCTGCAGCTGTTCATAGAGGCAACCCACCTGATGGTCTGATCTGAGCATACGACACCGAAATCAAAGAAGAAGATGAAGACGAAGAAGAAGACGACGAAGAAGAAGAAGACGTTATAAACATAACACGCATTTCTGATAACAGGCAATTGTGGTCTGAAAGATGAGTGTTTGGAAGGGCTGAATGAAAGACGGGCCTGCGTGCCAATTTGTAACCTTCTGAATATATCCGTTTACTGGTTCGATGATTCGTTCTTTCGTTCTCCATGACATATTATAAAACAATCTTGGCCAAAATACGTTAATGCATTTTAGGATGAGGCATCAGGTGCACAAACTTTGCTTTCCTGATGGCAGCGTGAATTTAACTGGCAGGAGAGCGAAAACAAATAAGGGGAGGGGAGGGGCGGGGGAGGTGTGACAATTAAGGGACACTAATATATTCGCAGTTAACCCATGCTGCAAAGTGGACCCAAGGTTTCGTAGAGGGAGAATATTTCTAGAAAGACCAAGCTCTAGAGGAAGGCTGAGAGTTTGGAGGAGTTAATGGACAGACATATTCTGCTGATCTAAGCCCTGTTGGACTTCCCGGTCGAGCAGATTTTAAAATAAATGCCAAGAAATATTATATGTCAAGTAAAGAACCTTTTTCCCGCCTTTTTCGTATCAGACATATAATGCTAGAACTACATGTGTATCAGGATTTGGCGGCTTTTACTTCCCATGACGTGGTAATTATGTTTGGCTGGACAGACATGGGTGCCACGATTTGATCTACTGGTAAAGAGATATAAGCTATAGTACAGAAGGCAAATGCTTTCATCTACCAATTACCCCCACTGCTTAGACACTCCAGCAAAACAGCAAATGATTATAACATCAGTGCCAAATATGGACTATGAATTGGGCACTAGAACAGAAAATAACTACACGTGAAAGGCACTGTCTCCGCAAGGTCACTAACAGCACAAGAAGAGACGGGGTTACCAGCGTTAGAGAGAAAGCTGGAATAAGACCATGTCTTGATTACATTGACAGACAAAGAAAAAAATTATTCAGACATCTAGTGAGAATGCAGCCAGACCAAATTGCATACTAAACTTTTTACAGAATGACATCTTGGAGGAAGGCGAGAGGAAGACCAAGAGAAATAGGGATAGATGGTGTAGCAGAAAACTACAAAACGATTAACAAATCCAGCACTCAAGCCACTTGAGAAGCGCAAGAAACATACAGAAATCATGACACTGGACAACAGCCTGACATCGGTGAGACAACAAAAGAAGCAGAAAAAGACCTTCAGGTAGACAGGCTAGCCTTAAGAAACTAAAGGCGATTGAGGTAATAGTGACCACACCACTTAACGAACTCCTATAGATAAGTTAACATTTGGAGGCATCCATAAATCCAGCGAAAGTCAAATGAGTAGTTTTCCTAAATAAAGTGACTTAAAAAAAAAAAAAGAATTCATCTTTCTGATTGTTGTAAGCTGTCTTTGTGTGTCAGCCTCTTTTAGATCATTTGAACTGCTGATTTAGACTGACCATAGTATTTCAACACTCTTTATAAAAGCTGCATTTTTGTAGCTTCAAAGTACTTTTTACGTTTTTACCAATTGTCTAGAATTTAGAGTCACGTGCTAAACTTGGTTCATTTTGAGAAGCAATGACTCTTTCTTGCAATGACTGTAAATTATTTCCTAATGTGTTCTTGATAATGTAACTGGACCAAGAAATCAACATCAAGACAAGCGAAGGAATATACGCAGTGAGTAAAATAATGACAAGAGTTTGGTAGAGCAACAAGTTCACAGTTAAAACAAAAACTTTGAAAACCGTTTGATTTCATCACTCTTCATTACGGTATTGAAAGCCAGTGACTTACTCATCTCAGGAGACGAAGATGCCAAAGATAGTAACTGATATTAAGGGCGAGATAAGATTATAAACATCTATAAAATAGGAAAAGCAAACGATGCAACATATTTCTTAACTCTTTGTGTCCTAAGCAATTCTTACTTTACCACAAACTGTTATCCAGTCATCGTTATCAATCAGCAAGTCCTTTACAGAACGTCGCTATCGTCACTGCACGTCTGAAAGTCTCTCTTTCTCCAGCTGATTCTCCAGCCTAACGTCACAACCAAAGCACCTTTAATGTCCTGTATCCACCTTCGCTAAGACATGTGCCTCGTTTTCACGAAACTGTACTCTCCCTCACCATTCTCTCACCGTGATGTTTGATATTCTAAAAAATACCCCAGCTTTCGCGGCAGGATGCTGTTTATGAGCCAATTCTCCTAGATCTCCAGCTCATATAGAATGTTAGTTTTTTTTTGTTCTCCTTTGTCCACGGTTTTTAAAAAATGTTTCTGTAACATTTCATTTCAAAAACTCCGATTCCCCCCCCCCCCCCCCCCTTTTCAATGACTGCGTTAGAGTCTTTTACTGAAATGCATAGGTTGCAACAGAAAAGATGGACGATCTCAGATTTTTTGTTTAACTTTAACTCTATAAATGAGGAAATGTCATGGAGATTAAAAGCTGCAAATTTGATGTTTACTACATCGCCCATCGAGCGATGATTAGCCTTTTAATATTATGTGCACCATATGCCTGAAGAAGAAATGACTGAAAAAAAGGGTCATTGTACGAAACTACATTTATGTCTGGCTTCATGTCAGATGAAAGGCATCAGTTAGAGATAACTGAGTTAGCCAATGGCCAACGTCTTGTGACTGCTTCATTTATAATTAGGAGCAAATGTGGTCACAACACTAATAGACATAATAGGTTGCCTTTCCTTTACAAGACTTCGGAAAGCAATCCTAACATGTTTTCGCTGATGTGGGGTAATTTTACGTTCACTAGTTTGCCATTGCTTTCTAGACGGCGTAATCCCGTTACTGTTGTTGATATAAACGCAAATCAGTTTTTGCCAAATTGTTCGTATATATTATTGAAACTATTATGTATATATATATATATTTGTGTGAGTGTACGTGTGTATGTGTATCCAGTGTTATCTTTCTGTCGGCGCCCCTGACTTCAGTCTAGTTTACACAGAGTAAACCCCCCCCCCCCCCCCACAAAAAAAGTCTCCCAGCAGTGACGCATATCTACATGTGCGATATTAGCAGTCTTTAAATACGTGACAGTATCAATGTGTTGCACTGCGTTTTTAAATTAACAACCTCTATAAATATTTTTGAAGCAATTAAAGAAGTTGAAGAATTTAAATACCTCGGAGGTAAAGTTACTCCCGATCGAGATTCTGAAAAGGATGTAGCATCGAAAAAACACAAAAACAAAGCAAATCAAGCATTTACCATGCTTAACAATATATGGAAGCCAAAGGGATTTAGTTTGAAGACAAAACTCACAATATACAAGAGCAACATTTTAGGAATACTATTATACATCAGTGAATGTTGGAAAATAACAGCGGGAATTACACATAAAGTTGAGACTTTTCGAAATAAATGTTTAAAGAGAATTAAACGAATATTTAAGCTAAACAATATCACAAATGAAGAACTGAGGAGGAAAATAGAATGTGCATCACTGGTAAATGTTATCAAAATAAGACGATGGAGATGGCTTGGACGTGTTTGCAGAATGCCTTGTGATACTCTCAGTGGACAGCAGATGGGACAAGGAGACGCGGACAAACTAAGGAAACCTAGAGAAGGACAATAGAACGGG